AGATGATATATTTGAAATTTGATTATGATCTAGTTTTGAGAGACGTTTCTTCAAAAGAAAGTTTTGGAAAACACGACTTATTCCGATTTTTGACGTTTTAAAACGTCACCCGTCCCCAAAGGGTTAAAGTAACTGTGTCAATCATGGTTTAATAAAGCATACTTCGATGAGTTCTCTCGAACATATCATTGCTGTTAACTGCAGGCTTTTCGTACTGGAAAATTCGTCTTTTTTCAGGTTATTAATTAATGAAACCTGTATTTTGAACAATATTCTCCCATAACCGTGTATCAATACTGAAACAAGTGTGTTCTATACAAATCATCTAGTTCTATCAAATGATATGCTTGGTGCTGTCCAGTAATGCTTTAATAGTTTGGAAATTAAGAAATAGGCACTGAAGTACACGTATTAAAATCTCATCTGCAAAAATAATCTTTCATGAATGTGTGTCACAACCAAAAGCATTTGAATTATATACAACTTGTTGAGCACTACCTATGAGTGTGCTTTATGTTAAAGACGATGCTTTGGTAGTTGAAAAACATGAACCGTTCTGTTTTTTACCTTATAACGCTTGCTTATTTTGAATCTTTGTCTGTGTATTAGGCAAAAACAGTTCTGTTCTAATAATGCAAGAATACTGGTGTCTTACTACATCTCTCTTCTTTTATGTGACGTTTACATCAAGTCCGTCTACTGGGGCCATTAACAAACGTGAAAAATATTGACAATTGATGGTCGCAGTGACTTTTGCTACTAGAAAGCATTTCATTCGATAGCTTTCAATGACTTGTCTATATTTCAAGTGTTTTCTGCTACAGCAGACATTTATGACGGAAAGTACTTTGCAAAAATGCGATCTATGTTATATATATTTCCTGATTACTGCTTAATGTCCACAAAGCACTGCTAGTTTGATCAAAGATGGTGGAAGACACACATACTTTTGATTCTGAATTAGGCCATGTTTCAACTAACATTCTTGGTAAATTCATTGTTTTCAATGTTATTGTTAATATGAAATCTTTATCAAATATATTGTCAATTAATTCAATCATTGCTTGACAATCGGTTAATTTACGGCTTACTCGATGTGTTGGAGAAAATAATTTTTGTATATCGTATGGCATTTGAATTGATGCTTTTAGACTAAATTGCATTTGATTAATATCGACATCTGTTATACCAATTGATGGTAATAATGTTTGATTATGATCATCAATTGCTTCTTTTGCTTGCCATGATGCAACTTTAGATGGAATACGAAATACAATATCATCATTTTCAATTGGCAAATCGCAAACATAAGTGATCTTAACAACAACTTCACAATTAGGTGGTAAATTTCCCACGGAAACACTGAAGACTTCCTGTCCATAAAGAAAAACAATTACTTTTCAGGTTATCTTAAAGAAAAGAAATTATCTTACGGGCTGTTCTTGATCCATTAAATAAGCTCCATGTCCTTGTTGAATCGCTTCCCGATATTCTTTTTTCGCTTGTTCTTTTTCTTTAACAACACCGATAATAATTTTATTATTAATATGTGCTTCAAAACCGCAAACAGTTGAATGTTCATCTAATGGAAAAATATATTTTGCTTCGATTGCTTGTAAATTCTTATTATGATAAAGTTGATATAAAACAACCTAAAATAGAAGACGTAATATCAACATCTCAAGGAAGCATCACAAAATTAATTACGTACTTCAGCTGTAATATCGACCAATTGTGCTCTTATGTGAAATGCTTTCAGTGGTATTTGTTGACCCGAATTTGATATAAGACCATAATCTTGTTCTGCAAGTTTTATTGGTTCATCGTCTATTATATCTGGTACTATAATAACGATCAAAAATACTGTGGCCTTCGTCACTTTAAGTAGCATGCAAAAGTTTTTACCTTCAATAGATATTTCTTGATCTGATAACATTCGTGGTTGATCTCTTATGAGCGGTAATATTTTTGGAACTTTTGAAACTGTGTCATATGGCTTCCATGATACTTCAACTAAATAAACTAAACGTTGTTGATCTAGATTATAAATTACATATTCATTGTCCTAGAAAACAATAAAACAGTGATTACAATACGATTATGATTATGAAATTGGTTTACTTTAAACATTGAACGGTTTTCATTTGTCATTTTAACACCATGAACACTATGGTATTCATCTGGCGGCTGTGTTAAATTATATGAATATGAATAGTAATTTGCACTATTTCCTAGTGCCACATTGCACATACACAATAAACGTTTATCATTTTGATTACTCTTTACAGTATACTGCAATGATGTACTTAAATAAGAAGAGGATACTTGTTTATTACATTATGTTCAGAATCACTGGGATGAAATGCCAGGTAAGGCTGAATACGTGGTCTATCTTCGGTTTTCTTCTCCAATAGTTTTCGTTCAAGACTCGATCGATTCTAAAAATTCAAGTCTTCCAACCGTTCTGTTTCTAGAAGCAGTTTCAAAAGTAGGCACAATTCCTGACTCATTTTCAACTGATTATAATGTTATGAAGTTTTTCCTCAATCACCAAGAACGGTATATCCATATTACTTAGTGCAGAATAGTCTCTTTGTGTAGGATTATTCTTTGCCATTATCGGCAAATTGGGGGTGGTCGAGAATACGTGAGGCATTGCGGATTTGAGTGGCGAGGTGGGCTGTCAGAAGCCGAGCCAGTGCGCAGAGGACGAGACCTTAAATTAAATAAGTTCTGGTATTTTTCCAAAAATCCAAGTTACAACACGAAAGAATTCTACTGGATAATGTGCCAACATACTCGGGTCAACAAACAAATATGAAAACTGTTTTTGTGAATTATACTATGAAATGGCTATTGACAGTTCCACCACTGGCGGCAGTAAAGCGCGAATAACAGTCTCAAAAATCACTTACGCACAGTGCATTTATGTGTTGTTTTTTGCATAGGATGGTTGTTTCTCTTCTCCAGAAAAACGGTTTTTGACCATTTTTCTGTGGAATGTACTAAATTTAGTAATGAATCTATCCTAACATGTCTATATGATTTACTAAGAAATCAAGGAATTCAGCAATCGGTCATCAATGCATGCATGTTATTGGAGTGCAGGAGGGGATGGAAGCAGTACGTGAGAGTGAGCCAGTTAAGAGAAGTATTTTTGAACTAGTACCCGTACTGGTTTCTTCATTACTAGTACGTTTCCTGGAAAAATGGTCAAAAAGCGTTTTTTTGGAATAGCGAAACACCATCCTGTGCAGAAATCAATACATATGCACTAGTAAAACGACTTGTACTGTATATGTTAAGCCGAACGTAAGATGTATTCGTTCATTATACACGCAACCAACAATCCTTCTACTAATAACAAGCAGAAAAATACACGTTTCATCTTTGCAAAAAACTGGAAAAGCGAACTTTGTACTTCCTACTTATGCCATGTAGAACGATTGAGGTTGTGCCATCGCTATGCCTACAGGTGTCTAGCGACATCCGATTATTACTTACTGCACAGTGACGACTATATGTACCACAACGGTATGATTCAATACTTTTTCAACAGAAGTATACTGTGAATGTAGTAAAACGACTTCTGCTGTGTACGTTAAACCGAACGTAAGGTGTATTCGTTCATTATGCACACAACCAACAACCCTTCTACTGATAACGAGCCGAAAAATACATATAGTCGTCACTGTACGCCAAGTAATAATCGGATATCGCTAGACACCTGTAGGCATAGCGATTGTACAACTTCAATCGTTCGTAGAAGGATTGTTGGTTGTGTATATAATAAATGCACTGTGTGTAAGTTATTTTTGAGACTGTCAATCGCTCCTTACTGCCAGTCCTGGGATTGTCAATAGACCTACGCAAAAATGAATCGAATAGAGTGCTATTTTTCCTCAGAACTCCGATGAGGTATTATCTTTTATAAATTTGGTCTTAACTGTTATTTCAGGGGTTTTGGCGTCACAAAGCGTTTTTATTCAAAATAAACGTCATATCCGTGATCAGTGTGAAAATTGAATCGAATGATGCTATACACAAAAAGGATTTCTTTTCGGTCAGATCATTTGATCTGGGCTCTTTAAGGCGTTTCTTGAATGTAGATTAAATACCATCGAACAAGCTCTTTTGCCACCATTAGGTTCAATTTTTCAAGGTAATCACAATTATGACACGAGCTTTTAATATAAAAATTTTATAACGAAAAACATTAGGATTTATCGACTCAGACTATCGTTTTGACATAGATCCCGCATAGATCCTGAAGAAGAAGGTATATGAGACTTTGGCACATATGTATTACTTGGGACGTATAATAGATAGTATAATTAGTAACAACAATTTTCAAATTTGATTATTGATCCGTATGTAGGTACGTTATCCAGCAGAATTCTTACGGGTTGAAAAACACTCAAACTTCTTTTTAGAGCCAAATTCCGAAAGCACTATACAACGAGACTATTCTGCATTAAAAAATATTTTTCCATGTCTATTAGTGATTGGGAAAAACATTTGAATCATTAGTGAATCCAAAATGATGCCTGTTTCTGAAACTGCATAGCTCCTAAACAAAAAGGTTTCAAAACTTAAAATTTTCAGAATCGGCCAAAATTTGAATAAAAAATAGATTTTTCGAGAACAAACCGACGACGTATCTAACTCCACATCGGTCCAAGTGCTTTCACCAGACAGTGATTCTTAAGGTAACTGAATTAAAAGTTGCGTGTGACAATGATCTCAAGAGAAGCGAGTTCGACAACTACGAGTTTTTTTAAGTATGACAACAGTCTATAATGACCAAAACTGGTCAGTAACGTTGTTACCTGACTGAATCAGAAAAATAAAGTCCATATCCCAAATGTCCAATATCAGTTCTTGAACCACCTTCTTCATTAACAAGTATTTTTGGCATTAATAAACCACTACAATGGAAGAAAGTAAATCCTATATCGACAAATTATAATGATAGTCGTATGCCGCATACCGAGACAGGATACCAAGAAAATTGCTATATTTGGAACCATGAAATAATAGAGATTGATTATGTACATTTGATTTGAAATTAATTCTTTCCGTTTGCCTGGTTAGATCAAATATATTGTGAATAATCACTTGTTCATTTCTAAAAATAAACAATAAAAATTTGAAATTTATTGGCATTGAAAAATGTTCGCATACATATTAGTTGTTGAATAAATCATTTCGCTTATTTTCTTGTACTCAAATGTATCTTTATCAACTGTATTTATATAACATTTTAATGAACGATATTTTGCTTCTATTGATGCCTTTGTATTCCAGCATGTCATTTCATTTACAGTTAACATATCCTGTAACATCTAAATGAGAATCATAAGATGAAGTCTTACTTTAGCGACATTTTCAAAATGTTTAACTTACTTGACATAAATCCATTTTTTCTCGTAATATTTTTTGGTCATTTAAATTTACTTCAAAAATTGTATTATGTGGTATAAGTGTGTAAAATTTAGTTTTGATTTCAGCTGATGTAGATTTATTAACATCATTATTGTCAGACAGACGTTTTTGTTCCAATAAAAGAGCTTCAGCTTCAATTATCTAAGTAAATTTACAAATAGAGATGAATAATTGCTTTAAATCATAAGATTAATAAGTGAAAAATGCCCTGAACCTATACAGGAAAACATTACAATAATTTTACAAAAAAGTCAAACTATTTTCATTATCTAAAGCTGAGGAAGATGAGATTATGCTAACTTTTTTCTGTGTATGCTGTAGAGTGTGTCGAATGAAAATCTGACATGCAAAATTTGGACAAATATCTTTATAAAGTTTGAAAAGTCCAGTTTTTCAAATATTTTGCTGGAAAATAGTTAAAAAAAAGGATTCTTCCTAACTACAAAATTTCATACTATGAAAGCATCATTTTTGTTTTTAAGATCTTTATTATAAACTGAATTTGTCCCAATATTGTTTCATGCATGTTTCAAAAAAGGAAAGGGTATGAAACTCAGTTGAACCGATATCTTTTGTAACTAATGTTAATTTTTTTCTAAAATTCTCTACACTAGATCTATGCTAATTTTTTTAAAAAGTCTTAAAACAAAGCGTTTATGTTTGTATTGTCTAGGGATTCACTTAGAAATAACAACGTTAAATTTATGAGTAAATCTGCTATAACGCCGAAGCTATTTATTAGAAGCGACTTTCAAAGAACACGAAAAAAACTTGCTTATAAAGACAACATTGGTTGTAAAGCTTTATCTATCACATTAACAATTAGGCATGCACCAATTCCGAGTCCAACCAATTCCAATTCCAATTCTTAGCTTGGAATTGATGGAATTGACCGGAATTGGAATTGGAATTGACAAGAATTGACTAGAATTGGAATTGGAATTGACAAGAATTGACCAGAATTGGAATTGGAATTGACAAGAATTGGAATCGAATTGGAATTGACCTATGTTTTTCCTTGTGCAGAACATGATACTGAGGTTTATTCCCTTG